GTCCAGACAGGGATCTCCATTCTGGCCCCACTGCAGCCATCAGCCACACAGAGCCAGCAAAGAGAAGTCAAAGTTTTTGTACCAGAAAGACGGTAGAGAGCATAAGAGAATAGGACATTCTACTGTGGGACCCCCAAAGCAGAGTGGGAAATCAACTATGACAATGTACAATGAGTGTTCCAGGAGACAGCTCAGGAAATTACACATTCACTGAGTATTTGAAAGGCCTACAAAGGCCACTGTGTCACACGCATCAATCTTCTGGGACCAGAAAAGCAAAGATCTGAGCGTAATGCGATCAAAGTGATGGTTTCTTTTATATATTAATGGCACTTCATGTGAATGAACTTAAAGGTGCTTTTTTTGGTATTATTTTGTTCAAGACCACCTAATTTGTTGATCTTTGGCTTAAAGGTTCATGACATTCTGGTGATGAAAATAAATGCCTGCTGAAACCAATAATCCCACTCACACATCCATCAGGCCACAGAAATCTCAAGGGTGAGACTCATAAAATGATGGACCATGCCAATGAAAGTAGTCAAACAGTGGCAACTTCTGTGGTTCAGTGAATACAGAACTGGTGCTAGGTAGAAGCCTTGAATGGGAGCCCCTACAAGAGACCAGATGACACCCTCACACTGCCAGAGCTCACGTCTGAAAAGGGACTGAAATGAAGCACAAGCCAAGGGAAACCACTCCTGTGAAGTGCAGTAAGAGTAAGTGCATTATTTACTTTCCTCATTGCTATGCTGGGAGAAGACACCCTGGCAAAAGCAACTGAAGGGAAGGTTTAGTTTGGCTCACAGTCCCAGAGTAAAGTCCATCATGGTAGATAGTCATGGCAGCAGCAGTTTGAGGCAGCTGGTTGCCCTCCATCCACAGTCGTGAAGTGGGGGCAGGACAGGGGGTGATGAATGCTGGTACTAGGCTCACTTTCTTATTATTCAGTCCAAGACCTCAGCTCACATAACAACGCTGCCCATAGTTAAAATAACCTTTCCCATGCTGATTTAATGTAGATAATCTCTCACAAGTATGTTATTGGTAGAATTATTAAGGCAACTCCACGTAATTAAAAGGGAGGTTTATTTTGTGGGGTAACTTACAATTGAAGGGATAGGTAACAGGGTCTGGGAAAGGTGAAGCACAGTCCAGCAGTGTTCTCTGGAGAACTCTGCTCAATCTACCTCCAGTGTCCAGGATCCAGGAACCAAGAGAGCTGGCCTCTCCAAATCTCTGGTCTTTAGGGGTCCTCTCTCAGCTCCACCTTGTAGGCATAACAGTTACCGAAGCCTCAATGGGGGTAGTACTTCCAGGTCAAAGCTGGAACAGCTACCCACTACATCTCCCCCTTTTGTCTAAATAAGAAAGTTCTAACCTAATACAAGACTATATACAATAGGAATGATTATCAAATATTGTCTAGGAGTAATAAAGGATAATGACCTAGATAAGATGGAACTACAACCAATGAGAACAATATCAAACAAGAGACACATACTAAAATCCAGAGAAGCCTGGAGCATGACTGAGAGACTCTAGGTCTGTGGGCTGAAGACAGATGCCCCAACTTTACAGAGAAACTTTGGATGACTGTCCAGGCTGCCAGCTGTCTCTGTCTACTCTTGTAAGACTCCTGAAAGTTGCTTGCATCCTTGTCCCATTTCTCAGGTAATATTACGTCCTTCTGAGGTCTCTGATGTAGTTGAAGACTAGATAATTATAATTTCCTTAGTTATGATAAGAGATAAGTTAGATATGAAACCTTAGACTCACAAATATAAGACAGGATATCTTCTTTAATTTTGACAAACAAATAGACTAGATATTATAAATAGACTAAATATTGTAAGTGTAATTCTTGCTTGATAATTGTTCTGTTATATATAATTTTACTATGTTAAAGGTAAAATCTTCCTTTTTGAAAAGAAAAAGAAAAAGGGGAAGTGCTGTGGATGATAGATTGATAAATAAAATGCTGATTGGCCAGTAGCCAGAAAGGAAGTATAGGCGGGATAAAGAGAGAGGAGATGTCTGGGAAGTGGAAGGCTGAGGCAGAGAGACGCTACCAGCTGCCACCATGAGAAGATGTTAAGATACCGGTAAGCCACGAGCCAGATGGCAACTTATAGATTAATAGAAATGGGTTAATTTAAGACATAAGAACAGCTAGCTAGAAGCCTGAGCCATTAGGCCAAATAGTTTAAATAATATAAGCATCTGTGTGTTTATTTTATAAGTGGGTTGCAGGACTGTGGGGGCTTGGCGGACCCAGAGAGAAGCTCTCCAGCTACATATGTCCGAAGGCCAACAAAATCTAGATAACTACTAACAGGCACAGCCAGAGGCTTGTCTCATAGGTGAATCTAGACCCTGTCAAACTGACAGTCGCTATTGGCCATCCCCGTAAGAAAGAAGACAAAGTGATGTGAATTCTTCATACATCATCCTCCATGTGACTATCCACTCAGAGTCAGGATAGTTTAGAATAGAGAGTCCAGACAGGGATCTCCATTCTGGTCCCACTGAAGCCACCAGTCACACAGAGCCAGCAAAGAGAAGTCAAAGTTTTTACACCAATCCATGCTCAAGTCAGAACAAAGCAGCAGCAGCAGCAGCAGCAGCAGCAACGACAACAAACAACCAGAGCCTTCTGAGGATCAAGCAATTTTTTTCCCTTCAAACACAGCAGGTATTATTCTACAGCTGGCATAATATGAACCTGGCATAATATGAACAGGTTCATTATTTCATTCACTAAATATTACTATATTAAAATTTTAATCAGTGAACATAGCAGTGATAAAATGAATACATTCATACACTACTGCTGCCTGTGTAAACTGCCAAACCATTCTTTGCAAAAGCAATATTACAATACAGAGAAGAAAATCCATAAAGATATTCATATGCTTTCGTCTACCAATTCAACTTCCAGAGAATTTATCTAAGGAAAGAATCTGTTTCTGTATAATACAAAAAAAAAGTTAAAATTATTATTAGTTGTTGTTTTGGAAGAACTGTGCTGAGATGTAAATTTTTGTACACTCAAAGGAAGAAAATAGAAACACCTGGAAATACTTAAATGACTGTCAGTATGGAAATTTTTAAAAAGAGGAAAATGCATTGGACGGAATGTGCATTGGTTACTTTTCTGTTGATGTGATAACACCATGACCAGAGGCAACTTAAGGAGGGCAGAGTTTATTTTGGCTTGTGGTTGTGGCATGGGTGTTCATACGGTGGAGGAGGCATAACAGCAGGCAGCCAGAATGGGAAGATGAGAGTTCACATCTTCAGTCACAAATACAAAGCAGAGAGACCAAAGTAGAAGCTGGGTGAGGCTGAGACTATGACTTCTCAAAGCCCATTGCCAGTGAGGTACTTCCTCTAACAAGGCTCCACCTCCTAAACATTCTATGACTTTTCAAACAGTGCTGGAAACTCGAAGCAAAGTGTTCAAATATGTGAGCCTATGAGTGATATTGCTCATTTGAATCAGCATAAATGATATGTGCCTGATAAGCATGATTGAACAGGAGTAGGATTCGAAACCTCTTCAAAGAGGCAGGGAAGGGAATGTGGTGATTTGAATGAGAATTGCCCCCATAGGCTCATACATTTGAATACTTGGTCCCTAGTTGATAGAACTTTTGGGGAAGGATTAGGAGGTGTGGCCTTTTTGGACTAGAGGCACTTTGAGGTTTCAAAAGCCAAGGCAATTCCTACTTAGCTCTCTCTTTGCCTTGTGCCTGTAGATCAAGATGTGAGCTCTCAGTTGGGCGGTGGTGGCGCACACCTTTAATCCCAGCACTCGGGAGGCAGAGCCAGGTGGATCTCTGTGAGTTTGAGGCCAGCCTGGGCTACCAAGTGAGTTCCAGGAAAGGCGCAAAGCTACACAGAGAAACCCTGTCTCAAAACAAAACAAAACAAAACAAAAAAACAAGATGTGAGCTCTCTGCTATTGCTCCATCACCATGCCTACCTATCTGCAGCCTTGTTTCCCATAATGATGATCATGGACCCAAACCCTGTGGAACTATGAGCTGCTGTGGGATGGTCTGTATGTCAAGTGTGTTGCTGATTAGTCAATAAATAAAACACTGATTGGCCATTGGCTAGGCAGGAAGTGTAGGCGGGACAAGGAGGAGAAGAATAAAGCTGGGAAGTGGAAGGCTGAGTCAGAGAGACACTGCCAGCCGCCATGATGAGAAACAGCATGTGAAGATGCCGGTAAGCCACGAGCCATGTGGCAAGGTATAGATTAATGGAAATGGATTAATTTAAGCTGTAAGAACAGTTAGCAAGAAGCCTGCCACGGCCATACAGTTTGTAAGCAATATAAGTCTCTGTGTTTACTTGGTTGGGTCTGAGTGGCTGTGGGACTGGCAGGTGAGAGAGATTTGTCCTGACTGTGGGCCAGGCAGGAAAACTCTAGCAACAATGAGCCTCAGATTAAATGTTTAATTTTGTAAGTCACCTCAGTCATGGTGTTTTGTCCTAGCAACAGAAAAGTAATTAAGACAGGGGACCAGGTGTGTACTGATTGTAATGCAAAGCATGGAAATAGTACCTCAAGGTAAACAAGCACAAAAAACCTGATGAACATTGACTAAAGACCATTTTTGGGAGGCAGGCTCACTACTTCAACAGCCTTCCTGAAATATTGCCATTATATGGAACTTGCAGTTAAAAACCCTCACAAGTAATTCTATGAGAACATTTCAGTAGGTCATCCCTAAATCACAAAGGACATGTGATCATCTTGCTTTGAAATACAAATGCAAGTCAAATTCAGAGGTTGCTTCTGTGGTATATATCCCTCATGTAAGTATCCCATATGGGAGAATGTTCGGGGGATCAGTGACTGGAAGCCTGTCTTGTGCTGTTGGGAGGAGGAGGAAGCAACTAGTAAGAGAAGGCTTGCTGTGTTAAAATGGAGTGAAGAAGGTCCTGTAACCAGCCACTTGGTACAGATGTGGCCTGGTGGCACTCACCTTTCACGATCAGCTCTGCGTAGTTGGACACACCAGACCCACCATCTGAGCGGATTACACAGCGATACTTGGAGACACTGCGTTGAGAGGTGTCTGCCACACTGACTGTGGCCGAGAAGCGCCTGTGGTTGACCACACGAGTGACCATGAGGGCCGTGTCTCTGCCATTCCATTGCTGAAGACACATGAAGGGAAGGAGAGAAGAAATCATAGCATCAGAGGCTTCCTGGCAACCTTCAACATAGACCCCATGACCCTTGCATGCTCCAGGGGCCTAGGACTTCCTTTAAAAAGAATGACAAATTGTTTCTATCTAGTCTGAACTATGGTTCTGACTTAAAAAAAAAAGTAAACCCAACCCATTGAATGCACTACTACATGTCTGTCAGTCCAGTACTCTAGAAGCTGAGGCAGGAGGTTTACAAGTTTGAGACCAGCCTACATAATGAATGCTTTCTCAAAAAAATATGAAGGAAAGAAGAGAGGGAGGACAATAAAAGATGATTCAAAAGGAGGGGTGCCTAGTTGGAAGGAACTGGGACAAAAGCTTCTCCTAACTACCTCAGCTCCTGGTTCAGCACACACTTGGAGTCAGCTATATTCCCTTAACCCCCTCCCTCCTATTTTCCTTTATCTCATAAGCAGAAGCCACAGTATTTCCCCACAGACAGGTTTCAGCAGATTAACAAAAATCCAGCCCACATAGAGCGTTAGTAATCAGCCTTGCTCTCAGCTCCTCAGCTGGTGATCAATGTCTCACTGACCCACAGGCTTTGACCCATCTGCCCCAGGCTGCCACTATGGACGAGGGTTGTTCTCCCTTTCCTCTTTGCCATGTTCCCTTTCCTCTGCCTGCAATGTTCTATGTCCCTGGGAACAGCCCCTCTCCCACTAATCCATGTTCAGCTTGCCACTATCTCTAGGAAGTTCCCTCATCAATCACACCACCATCTGAAATGCAGCTGTGCCTCTCTGTATTGTGCAAACATTCCACACATCCTGGTCCATGACTCTTCCCCACTTGAGACTATGAGTCCCCCAGAGACAGAATTCCATTCATTTTCCTATGCTGACTCTACCAAGATTTGCAAGATCAGGACAAACACACATAGGTGTTTCTCTTCAGCAACCTGAATTTTAGGTGTGATGTTTTGGGTTAAATGGATGCTGTCACAACTGGTAAGGCATGCATGTGGATGCATTTTGAGTGGATGTTTACTAAGCACCTAGTATGTGGCAGATCTGAGCTGGGTGCTTTTGTATAATTCTCCATTTTAATCTTCACAGCCTTGTTGAGGTGCGTATTATTGCTGCTCTTCTCAGAAGAATCAAATGTCAAAGAGGTTAAATAAATATGTAGAGCAAACACGTCCCTCATCCAGGCTTTCCAGCATCAATTCAAACACTTTTTTCCTAAGACTTTATCCCCATTGCCTGCTTTAATGTAATTTTTATCTCTAAAGTGAAATGAAGGGTTTTAATTGTCTGGTTGGATTTAGAGAAACCTGGCTATTTATGATTCCCAGACCCCAAGTCTTTCCAGATGAGATCTCTGTTGCTTCTTCCATGAAGTAAATAATCTCTCTATGGGCATAACCCATTTTTTTCATGTCATTTTCCAGTCCACCTCCCATCAGGGACATGTTAAGATGGGGATACAGGAATGGGCAAGGCAGCTGATAAGGCAGTCTGTACCAACCCCATGAGGATACAGTAAACCAAGACACAGGACAGAGTCACCAAAGCTCCCACCAAAGGGAAGGCCTGCTTCCAACTAGTCAGGGGAGTCAAAGGGGACAGTTTCCTTCACATTATTGTTTTAGCATTCTTAGGACTTTCTACCTCAAACTGGACCACCTCTACATTTCCAAATATTAAAGTAAATGGCATTTTCAAAAGTCAGGACAGCAAGAGAGGTAGCAATACCTCCCCCTCCCGTGCCAGAAATGACCCAGCATGACCAGAATAAAGCCATGTAAGTGGTCAAGAGCCACTGGGACTATAGCTCCTGACCACCTGTGCATGCCTTGGGGTATCCTTGCAAGAGATAATACAACTTAGACCCAGGTACAAAAAGCTACCAGATACTAAAGAACCCCCCCTCTTACAGTAGTGCAATAAAGAGGTAAAAAAAGATTCTGGAAAAATGTGAGAATTGAACCCTGATTTGGAAAAGATGCAGAATGGATAGGGGAGGGGATTTCAGAAGATACAGGTCACCCCAAGTGCTCTGTTTTCACCATTTCTTAGCAAGGCAATGCAAGAACACTACAATACATGCAGATGAGTCAGTGATAGAGGATTAGTTAGATATTGTCCTGATTTATTTATAATGCTTTCATTTCTTTTCCTCCTCCCTTTTCTTCCCTTACACAATGTATTTGTCAAAAACTGCCCACCTGTGGAGTCACTTGGGGAATAAATGAGAAGGTACACAAAACACTTAACAAAGGAACATTTTGGTGTTATAAGAGTTTTGCAAATTAACCATGAAATTAGCAAAAAAAAAAAAAAAATGTTGTCAGTAGAAGAAAAGCTCCCCTCCCAAAGATGCCCAAACTCTAATACCCAGAACCTGTGAATATGTATATACACACACACACACACATATTCATACCTGGCAAAAGAGACTTGAAAGACAGTCAAGGATTTTAAGATTGGAATGCAATTTTGGATTCTCTACCTGAGACCAATGTATCACACAGGTTCTCATGTTAAAGTGGCAAGTTGGGGAGAGTGAGAGTCAGAGAAGGTATGGATAGAAGGACAGGTCAAAGGGAGGCAACTGCTCACTTGAACCTGAAGGAGGGAGTCAGAAGCTAAAGCAGAGGTCATGGTATCATTTATCTCCCTAAACACTTACAGGCCTATCAACCTTTTGTCATTGAAAAACAATATTATCATCTACAAAGTTCACAATAAAAAAACCCTGCAATCAAGGCTAGAGAAATTATTCAGCAGTTAAGAGAACTGTCTGTTCTTCCAGGGGATGTGGGTTCAATTCCCAGCACCCATAGGGCAGATCATAACCATCTGTAACTCCAGTTACAGTACATCCAATGCCCTCTTCTGGCCACCTCAGGCACTGCATGTACATGGTACACAAACATTCATGAAGGCAACATACTCATACATATAAAATAAAAATAAGTATTTTTTTTTAATTAACAAAAGGACCATACAACCAAATACAAAAACAACTGCAAAAACTTCACAACTTTTATGTTTACAGTTTTGTGGTGGGCTGCATTCACAGCTACCCTCAGCCACATGCAGTCTATGGGTCACAGGCTGGACACATCCTCAAGGAACACAGCCTACCAACATCTCGGTGCCATATTCAGAACTCACTGAAGCTCTTTTCTGACTGCTCATCTCAACGATGGCAGAGAAATAAATTAGTTCTGAGCTGTTAGGTTTGTAGAATTTGTTTCAGTAGCAATAAGAAACCAATACTAAGAGAAAGGGCTGGTTAAGTGCAAAAGCTCCATTGTGCACATTTACATTTTATCTTGATGTTGCCTCCAGTATTATTTACTTATCTTCTTAATGATGTCAGATTCTGGCAGAACTGAAGAGGATTAAGTGCCTTCCCCTGAACTGTTCACATTTTTTTTTTCTGTTCAGCTCCTGAACTGAGAACCTTTCTCCCACTGAAGGATAGGAAATTGCAGGTTGTCTTATAGAATCTCTGGAAAACAGGCCTTTTGATAATCATACTTGTCATATTGGGAGCAGGTAACAGCGGGGCAGGAACAAGCAGGAGGGCCCAGAGTCAAGGCAGAAATAGTGCAGTGATGGACAGTGGGCAAGGAGAAATGGAGGTGAAATTCAGAGAGATGAGCACTGATGGGAAGAGCTGGTGAGTGTGACTGGCTCAAACAAGGCAGGGAAGAGCAGGAGAAGGCTGAAGGTCAAGACAGGCAAGCAAGAATGTGGCATTCCAGAGGAAGAAATCACGGGCATACGACAAGACTAGGAGATAGACACTCAGAGAGGAAGAGACCTGGGTATCTGCGTGCTATGGCCATGTGAAGGGATTCAAACACAGCGAATGTGTAAGAAGCACATGCCATAGCTACTGTTCCAGTCCCAGGCAAGGGCAGAATAGCAAATGCAAAGGAGAAGACAAGAGGGAATTTGGTTAAACAAGGAAAGGACCTGAAATCTAGGTCCATGGGCTTGATTGACATGAGGAACATCCTATTTTCCTTTCTTTCGCTGTGATGAAATACCTTGACATAAAGCAACTTAGCGGAGAAAGGGGGTTATCTGACTCTCAATTCTGTGTTAAATGCATCCTATCAGGGAGTCACAGGGCAGAAGCTTAAAGTGCCTGGTGACATCCATAGTCAAGAGCAGGGAGAAACGAATGCATACACGTTTATCACTGAACTAGCTTTGTCTATTTGTCTGCAGTCCAGGGTATAAAACCAAGGAATGATGCCTCCAACTTTTTGACAGTGTCCTAGCTAGGCAGTCAAGACAATCCCCTACAGATATGCTGATGGGCCAACACCTCAGACAACAACACCTTCACTGAGACTCTAGGCTGTGGCATGGACACTGGGCTCTGTGCATGTCCCCATGCCATGTTTGACTGTTCATGCCACGTTTGATTGTTACAACTGTTGTTTGAGTAGCTGACTTGAGTTGATGGGTTCTTTTAATTATTAAATCCAACAATTTCTGAAATAGTCCTAAACATACTTCTGCCATTTTGTACTGTATATTTATATAAAGTAGAGTTCTTGTCATTGACAATTATAAATTTAAAATATTGATCAACTCTAAAAAGTGTTGAAGAGGCTCTCCATCCTGCCATATCATATATTTAGCCAAGATTTAATTAATTATGAAAAATTAGTAAGCATATCCATTTGATTAGATACTCAAATTTGCTTTGATCTTCAATATAAAATTATATATATACACCAAGCAATAAAATATTTCTTTATAATTTGTTGCCAGTGAATGTTTGATTTATATGCCTGTCATATATCCTGTATATCCAGAGTAAAAATTTCTATGGTTAAAAAGGGTGTCACTAGTGGAAAGAGAAATCCTTGCCTAGAAACCAGGGGCTAACACTTGAACCACCACTGTGGCCAGCTGTAGTCATAGCAAGATGAGGAAACTTACCATTCATTGAAGTTGGTTCCTAGAGAAGGGGAG